GGGGGGGGGGGCAACCTGATAGCCGCGGGCCACCCCGGTCTCCCTCCATTAGCCAGAGGTTTATATCCAGAGCAAGGCCACGGGGGGTCGAGGCCTTAAAACACGGCTGATTTCATTTGTAATATGAGCGGAGGACGCTCTCAGGTCAGGAATGCATCCTCTGTGTGATCCATCACTCCACAGACGGGAACTGTACGGCTCGCTGCAAAACATCACTAATGTTAACAGTGTCTTCCACACGTTCACGTTCTGGAGATTGATGCCCCTCGAACACAACATTTATTATTAGACAATACTGAATGAGTTTTGGTTGAGCTGTCAGAGGCTGCAGACCTGCCAACACTCATGTTTTCCCGGGTTCAAGGCCATCGGGTTTCGCCCGTGAAGCTCCTGTAATTTGCCCTCAAACTTTATTAGGAATAATCGCCATCGACCCTCACCTCCAAATTCAACTGGGAACAGACACGATCCAGCTGCTGCAGACAGCTGAAGTGTCAGTTAAAGAGTAACAACCAGTCAGTTAGGTTAAAGATGCTGAAAGCAGTCGAAGGGTTGAAGATTAAAGAGGTGGAATTATCTAATTATTATTAGAGTCGTTATAAAAGTTGAAGTGGAAGTTGCAGTGTTTGAGTATACAGTGAGAAACACTCCAACTGCTTACAGTACAAACATTTAGAGAGGTTTTTTAAGGCGGTATTCTCTCTCTGTGCACACAGGCTGGATTTCTCTCTGACCGAAGACGAAGAAAACAACACCATCGTCTTAGACCTGGCAGTTTACAGGTAGGATCAATGAGCACTTTCTTTATTGGGGTTTTTAATTGATATTAAACTATTTTGGCTTGTTGGTTTATCCCATAATATATATAACATATATGTGTTCTTTGGAGATTCATGTGTCAGCGATTCTGATACTGAAATATGAACTTTCAGGTGTAAAATATGTAACTTCTGTGTCTCTTTGTACAAACTGACCTCCGCTCCCCTCACAGACACATGGACACCTCCCTGATAGACGTGGACGTTCAGCCGACGTACGCCAGAGTCAGCGTCAAAGGAAAGGTACACTGAGGAGGTTTAAACAGATTAGTTGATCGCCTTTAGGATTAGGAAACACTTCATTTTGAGTATGTTGTTGCTGCGCTCTGAACTTTCTAAACCTCCTAAAGGGCAGCAGCAAAGATTTAGATACACCTTCAGAATCATTACCACTGTTTCTGTTACTATTTAACAGGCAGCTGTTCATATATATATATTTAAATAATTACATTAATATAATAAACGTGTAACGTCTACCCGACTTTATCTAACGGCTGATGATGAGGAGACTCTTCAGTCGGGGCAGCCCTCCACACTCGTGTTTGTACATTAACTTTAGTTTCTTCAGGAAAAGTCCCCACAGCTCCGGGCTCAGTTTCATTCCTCACACATTCATACTGGAAGGTGGCCAGTTTAACCACAGACTGCTGCTGTCAGCCACTGAAGGTCCTTGCTCAAGGGCACTGCGGCAGCAGTTGGCAAGGAAACATTTCTTAATCCCGACAGTTTGGGGATTCTAACCAGTGACCTTGAAGCCTTCACCAGCGCAAATATTAATGAGTTTAAATCCTGTTTCTTATGGTGAGTAAAGGTGAGAGATATATTTAGATGGAGGGTTTCAGAGCTCTGGTTTCTCACTGTAAGAAGTCAAAGATCTCCTCTCGCACGCTGCCGGCGCTCAGCCAGACTGTGAACATCACACTCTGCAAAGTCACAGCTGCTGGAGCTGCTCGAACTTTGCTGTATATGCATTAAGGCATCTTCCCGTAACCCTACCTGCTCATCTGAGAACTATTTAACAATCTGAAAACAAGTGCTTTTTAAAACATGGTGGAGTCGAACCGTATTAACATCCACCAAATGTTAGGAGATATTCTGTTTGGTGAGTAAATGAGGGTTATCTGTAATTTGGCGTCTAAATGTTTGTACCAAAATAGTTTTGGTGTAATTTACTGGCGTGCTGCTTCTGTCCAGCTGTCTGTGTCAGAGTTTAATGATCACACACAACCAGATGTGTTTTAATGTGCATCAGAAAGTCACTGAAACCCAGACCACCTCTCTGAGGGACAATGTCATACTGCCCCTACTGATCTGTTTTTGGGGTGGTCATCATTATTCAACAAACACAAGAGGTTTCCTGTCAGGAAAACATTTAAAGTGTTTATGCAAATGACCAAATGTTGTTATTGGAGTGGCATCTCTCTGCACAGACGAATGTGTTTTCAGCACAGAAAGGTTATTTTTAATGTCATTTTCTCACCTGTATGTGTACAGGATTCAACAGGAAGCCGATTTTCACCATGCTTTTAGTGAATTTGAACTATTGAGAGTATATTGAATGTGTTTATTCACCACAAGCAGCCAAACAGAAGATCACAGTAGCCAAAAAACACTGAGAAACTCACCTTTTTCCCCTTTTCTCTGCACTTTTATAAAGCAAAAGCTGCTCCCTCTGCCCTCTTTATCAGGATAAAATCCTCCTGCATCTTCATGTCTTCGCGCGCTGCCTGCTAACATACTAATCTGTCAGCGGTACAGAGTGATTCATGTGATCACAGGCTGCTGTGGATTCATGAAGATGATGCTCGTTGCTGAGTCGGGGGCAGAGAGGGGTTGTGATGGATGAGGAGTCAGATTTAGAGCAAATAAAAGGCTGTCAGAAGCTGCTGCGTCATCAAACCTGTTTCTGACTCTGACACTCTGATACGTTTATGAAGAGAGTTTATTACAGCCGCTCAACTCATTTCCCGGCTTTGAACTCCAAAATGGCAGCTGTCCAGAGCGAGAGCCTTTCTCTAGTAAATCCAGAAAAGTGTTGATGTAAATAAAAGAGAAATGACCTAGAGTGTCAGCAGAAGTTGAGCGGTATTTATCTGCTGACATTTATTGTGAAGGGAGGCTCAGTTCTGCATGTCAACGTAAGCTCGGGCTTTAAACCTCCAGACGGACCAGAAGCATTAAACTCTGAAGACTTAAAGATGTTAACGTATTCTCTTTGTCAGATTTATAAAGCTGCGTGTTCACCTGATTCTGGTTTATAAATCTCAGTAATTGTAGAGCAGGCTCACATTGAACTCCCACAGTTCCTGTAAAGGGACGTTCAGACGCACTTTATAGGTGAGGAAATATTTTAACTAATAGATATCAGCATGAAACTTCCCCCAGCTGATCACTCAATTTAACACAATTATCATTAGTGTTTTGTCTTTTATTTTATATTTAAATATGCAAATTAGGCATTATCAAACTAAAAATGTAATAATTGACACGTCTTAAGCCCCGCCCCCTTTTGGTACCACAGTCAACTTCCTCCTTTACTGTACTTAGATATGCTACATGCTAGGCTAATCTATGTTAAAAAGAAAACCACATTTTGAAAATGGTTAAAAGACA